TTCAATTGAGGTATAGAGGAATGGGGAAGAGATGGGCCGGCGGCCAGCCAACGAGGGTGGATAGACTAAAATTATTTGTGTTTATAAACTAACCAGATAAATTTTATTCAAGCACATCACCATTTTATTAAAAAAAACCGAATATTTCCTTGTATCAAATGTTGAGTAAATTGAGTATTTCAATAATAAGATGTTGAATCTTCGAAAAAAATTGAAAAATACGTCTATTTCTTTGTATCAATCTTTTAAGTGAAATGCCTTGCTAATATCAAACATTTTCGATGATTCACTTGCGACAACAATATTAAATTATTATTTTGATTTTAAGGGTCCGTTTGATTGCAAATGTGAAATTTGGGTGGAAAGAAAATGAATTACAGATAATTGAATTGCCTAAAATTTGTTTTACTGAGAATTGTAATTAATTGTGTTTGATTGATATAATTTTCCACCTGAAAAATGTTGAAAGTTTGGTGTTCGTTTGACTTTATTTTTATGTGGAAAGAAAATGAATTCTAGAGAATTAAATTGTCTAGAAATTGTTTTACTGTGAATTGTAATTAATTATGTTTGATTGATATAATTTTCCACCTGAAAAATGTTGAAAGTTTGGTGTTCGTTTGACTTTATTTTTCATGGAAGTTGTCCATGAAACTGATAATTTTTTTTACCATTGGATCTAGAATTTGTTTCAATTGTAAAATAAAAAAATTAAAATAAAAAAATTTATCATATCGAGTACCATTCTTTTGGTTTTGTTTTACATGAAAATTGTCAATAAAAGTAATAATTTTTTTTACTATTGCGTCTAGAATAATTGCCAAAAAAAAAAAGGCAAGTTGAAAAACTATTTCCCACAAACCACGGGAAAATGAAGTCCATGAAAAGGAGGAAAACTGGCAGCGAGGGGAGAAACAAGAAAAAGAATTCCATAAAAAAAATTTGTCATCAAACACACAAAAAGTTGGAAAATGGAAAACAACTAAAAGTGAAATAACAAAAAGCCAAAATCTTTGGTATCATCCATACATTATTATCACAATGATCAACTCCACCACCAGCTGCCAAAGTGCCGGCAATAGTATCATGAAATTTAAATTATGTTTGAAGTTTTATATGCATTAGACTATTAATTATTTTTTGTCAAGACAAGTAGATGGAATTAATGTATATGCTCCGTCCACTTGTATTTGCCGTCAACCTCGTGAAATTTTTAATATAATTAACTTTATTATGATAACGAAATATGTTAATATAGTAAGTTTCGAAAATTAAATGATCTACTAAATAATTGACGTGTCATGTCACTATTGCTTAGCGGTACTTAGGACATTTGTAACGCTTACATCAATTTAGAGTTTTACGCAGAACTTGCGTGAAAATCCCCTTCAACCCATATTTTGACACCAAACTCGTGTAATGAACATGTTGCACCAAGAATACTTTATAGATTGAACCCTCAGCTTTGTCTTGACTCTTAACCATTTTATAGAGGAATCTAACCACCCTCCATGGCTCTACGTAAGAAGGAAACAATATTCATTTATGTAATGAATTGGAGATGACTAAAAGATAGTATGAAAGTCATACAATTTTGGTGGGACGTCGCACAATTTTAATAAAACGGGGTGAAGCTAGATTGCCTTAATAGATAATTTCTCATCGAACATGACAATATGTAATAGACATTCGTTACATAGTGTTATCGGTGGATAATTAACAGAATTTTAATTTTTTTTCTCTGTTTAATCCTTTTTGTTACTGTCAAAGTTTCTTGAATTGCCGTCGAGAAAACACTTAATTATTACAAAATTTAAGTGAGAAAAGAGTGACATTTTTATTTTCTCCCATCTTTAGTTGCATGCATTGTGCTTCAATTCTAATAATTATTATACATTGTACATTAGAATTTTCTTAAACCGTACTTAAGTTATAGTATATTAGCATGCATCTAACATTACTAGATAAATTCAATGTTAAAATCTTGTTCATTATACAAATCAAATTTAGATAGTTGTCAATTCATGTTTTCAGCGGCTCGCATATTCTGAATGAAACCTTTTCGATTCCGACAGGGTTCATTTCAACCTTAAAAATACTAAAGAAAAAATGGGTTCCTCTTCTAAGTTCTAACTATAAATTAGACCAAAACCAGGTAAAGATAGGCTGGAAAGAGAACGGAAGAAAGTAGTTTTCATTTTCCTCTCTCTTTGAGGAAAAGAAAGTGAAAAATACAGGAAAATTTTCAACAGCTTGAAAATGGGATGTGGGGGATCAAAGCATGCTGTTGCAACAGAAAGCACCATTAGCAAAAGTAAAAGCAATTCCAACAAAATTGCAGAAAACTCTGTTGAAGAGAAGGAAAAGTCGATCAAGGAACCTGGTGTGGATGTAAATGTGGAGGTAAGGGAAAGTTTGGGAGAGAAAAAGGAAAATGCCAAAGTAATTGATAACGGAAATGGAGAATCAGGGGCGGAGGAAAATGTGAAAGGAACGGAAAATTCTGAAGATGGAAAGGAAAATGCCAAAGTGGAGGAGGAAATCAAGGGAGGAAATGCCAAAATAACTGATAATAGAAATGGAAAATCTGAGGAAGAGGAAAATGTGAAAGAAAAGGAAGAAGAGCTGGAGGTTCATGTTGTAATTGTCGAGGAAAATAAGGAGGGAAAATCTGACGAAATCAGTGTTCATCAAGTTCAAGAACCAGAGGAAGAAAAGCTCAAGATTGAAAAGGAATGCATTATCCCTGAGGAAAATGCATCAGAAGGGAAATCAGATTTGAATGATGATGTGGTGGGAAAGGAAATTAATAAAGAGGCCAAGGACGACACCAAAACTGGTTTGTTTATAATCTCCATTTTACCTCTCTTTATTACAGTTCTGTTAATATTTTGATGCAACAGGCACACATTTATATATTTATTTGAATTTTTTTTTAGTATAACATTCAATCAGATTCATAATTTTCATAAATGGGTGGCGGTAAGTACTACCACGTTTAAAAAGTTCGTTGTATGTTAAGAGACAGACAAATTTCTTTATTTAAATTTTATCTTAAAGGATTCATCAATAGTGTAATTTGTTTTATCTTTGGCTGCTGAAGAGTCTGTTAAGGTGGAAGAAGAAAAAGAGGTGAAAGAAGAAGTGGTGTTGCCAATTGCTGAAACAAAAGATTCTGCCACCAAAGGGGAATAGATGGATAGTAATACTTGTGCAGGTGAATTTGAAGCTGCAACAGAAAAATTACTTCTGTATTCCTATAAGTTACCAGACATTGTATAATTTACAGTTTACTTTTCTTTATTATTGAATATTTAAATACAAATAAATTACTTTTAACGGTTTAAATTTATAGATTAAGTCCCTGTTTGAGTCATATTCTTATTTTCATTATCATTCTTCTACTTATTTTCAATCACACATTCTTCAATAAAATAATATTTTTCATTACATTAATAATTTTTTTTAACCACATATTCACCATCACATCACCAAAAAAAAATGCATTCTCTCCTAAAAAATGTGTATTAAACACACCCTAAATTATCGTTTAACTTGGTATCAAAACATGTAAGAATAATCCAAATTGATGACTTTTAACTCTTCATTTAAAACACGTGAACTTCTTTGAAGATGTTAATAAGCCCATTCGGTCAATTGAACCGACCTTTCCAGGAAATTACTTTTCAAAATAGCCTTGTACTTTTTTGAAAGACGATCGAGTCTTCCTCTCATGTCAACTATGAAAAAATAAAGAGTGACGAAACATTCGATCCTACCATTATTGAAAATAAAACTTAATTTATTATTTATGCTATAATTCAATTAAAAAATGTGATAGCAATGTCCTATTAGGACCATAGTTTAACTCCGAAAGTCAAACCCCATTTCCATCAAAAGTTATATTCCATCTGCCAAGTTCAGCAAAATAAACTGAATTTCAACTTTGTTTAAATTTAGAAGCTTGGAACACAAAGGTGAAGCAATAAAATTAACCACAAAAGAATGGACAAGAACATTAATTAACTAGTTATTCACATCAAGTACGAATGTTACAGTAGTTATGTACAAATACTCCTCCTCAGGGGCTCTATGCCCCCTTCAGATGGTATCATTAGAGGGAAAAAGTCGATGTGCTATGTGCAGTTACCTCTTTTCTTGACTCCTAAAGAGACTTGACAAGGTTAACCCAAGTAAATATCTACAATGCGCTTCCCTGATCAGCCAGTTCGGTAATTAATTTCAAATCGGGAGCAAAGGGAACTCTGGATAAGACGAGATTTCCATCAAGATCTTTTCGGACAAATGCAGAGATACGGGGATCCATTATGATTTTGCATGTGCCTGATGTCTCGCATCCCATTTGAACGCCATAGTATGTCATGTGATCTGGAATACTATTCCCGGCTACTGACCTGCAAAAGGTTTAGATAAGGCCAGCGGCAGCTTTTGCAAATACTGGTTAACTTCCAATTACAAATAACCATCAGCTAAAGCAATTCTGAAGTAAACAATTCTTTCTTCTATAGAATTGCAAATACAGTGGTATAGGTGTCAAAATGTGTTGTTCCTCCCGTGACATATTGGTACAGGTCATGCTGGACAGACCTCTAAAAAGTTCAAAAGAAAACCAAATACTTAGAATGAAACAATGCACTGGATCTACTCGAACCATTGACGTAAATGTCATCTTACAGGGTGAGGCTGACTGTATATGCTTGTAGTGGTGTATTGTGGGTGTGTAGCGACCAAGATAAGAAGCACCAAAGTATGACATTTAATGATTTAAATTTGAAGTCTTGAAAGTAAATAAAATAATAATTTTCTGATATCAAGTTGAGCACGAATTAGTGGTAGCAGAAATGAAGTCAGGGATGAAATTTCTCATCGTGCTCAGAGGTAATAACTACTTGCCTGCTACATGTTGGGTCTTCCCCAGAATTATCGCAGACCTTCTCAACTGCATAACTAAAACTTCCAAACCCAATACTGTAGAGCCAGACCTGAAAGGAGATCTTATAAATCAAGGGGGAAAAAAAGACAGCATAAGTTGGAAGAAAAAGTTTAAGGTCAGATTTTAGCAACCCTGAAATATATTAGATAAGAAGGTTGTGAAGTGGTAGTAATTTGAGTAATCTTAGTAGTCGAGAAACATGTTCAAATATCGAATTAAAACAAAAACTACGATAACTTGGGGAAGATTGAACATTTTAATAAATAAATAAATAGGATAAAACAAAAGCACAACATTGAAGGGGAGTGGGAATGAGTAATAATAGAAGATTTTCCTTATCAACGTTTATCAAAAGAAACCTATGAAACTAAAGAAATTAAAGGGTAATTTACCCCATGTTTCAGCTTACTGAAAATAAAAATTAAACACCCATAACTCATTAATTATGTGCATCATTTAAGGGCAAGGATCGTGCCACTAAAAACTAAACTAGTAGTATCTATGAATTTGAATTACAAAGAACCATTACCTCTCTTGGGAAGTGATGGTACGTCTTTTGAGGGAAATAATGGTAGTAAGGGGGCAAATGAGGCACAATATCATGTCCATTGGTGACACGAATGGTATTTGGCACCACTTGGCTATAGTAGGATGCAAAAGCAGCATTACCAATCCTAGGTTGTCCAAATGTCATGACCTGAACATTCTGTTCTCCAAGAGCAAGCTTAGAATATGACGAAGTTTTTCAGTAAAGATTCCAGAAAATTCAAGAAAATAATAATTACAGAAACAATTACACAGAACCTGATATTGAATCTCAAAATTCAAATTCTATACACATCAAGAAAAATCACAAGTTTTGCATAGAATTTAGAAATTTGGTGATGTGATGTGATATTTGGTAAAATTACCGAAGATTTTAAGGTTTAACTTGAGAATTGAAAGTAAACCAATAGAAAGGGATATCGCAAGAATCAGTCTTCAACGTTCTCTTTTTTCCTTTCAAAAATAAAAAATAGCCAGAACAATGGCCATGGCACACACTAACAGCAAATTATACTTCATTTAAGAGAAGGCGCCATATACAGGAAATTAAATGTATAAAAACAACAGAAAATAATAAGATAAGGTGAGTGTAGGATAGGTACACTGAGATCGAGTCCACAAAAACCAGCTATCGCCCCACCCATTGAATGCCCAGTCACGATAATATCAATTTTTCCATACAAGTCCATTGCCTTTTCAACTGCATTTACTACTCCAGGCTGTAATGTCGTGTTGTAGTAAGCAGAATAAAATCCATGATGCACCTGAAAGAAAGGAAGGCCACATGAATGTATTCATACCCATATAAAGACTCAGTACACATATTTACGAAAGAGACACCCAATCACAAAACTTGGTCGTTCGAACCATTGCGTTATCGATTCCAGGGTAGTCTATATCAAGCTGCTTCCAGTACAAATCTTCCACCCAATTCTGTATACTGTAAACACAAGCAAGCACAACATAAGAAATAAGCAAACTAGTCACAAGCACACCATGATCATCATGAACTAAAACAATTGTTGTACTATCTGAAAATGCACATGCCAGAATGATCACGACCAGCATTGGGTAATACTGCACATAGATGCAAAATAACAGAAGATCTTACTTTGGTTTAGATGTAAAACAAGATTTTAACACCCCAAATTCCCTTTACCAACTGTTATTTTTTAATTTGGGCCTTGCTCTAAAAAATTTGAAAGTTCAAGCATCTAATTGATTTTTGGCCAATAAATTAGGGACCAAAATCCATTTTCTGCAAATTTGTAGATTTTTAGTGCCCAGCTGCAGTAACTCATGAATAGTGTTTCCTTTGGGCAAAATATTCTTCTCTCTTTTAAAATCACGTCAAATGAACTATTTATGGTAAAATCCAGATATTTATCCTGTTTGGTACAGATTCTTTAAAATTCATTTTTCCTCAAACTCATTTTTAACTACACATCCTCTCAATTAAATAATTTTACACACGAACCTATAATTCTCCACTCTTTAACAACACATTCTCAAAAAAAAAATCACAAAATTTATTCTAAAAAATCTACATTAGACCCCTTCATTGATAAGGGAACATATAAAGCTAGATTTTTATAGATGGTATAGTTTATTTTGTATATATGTTTACCCATTAACATATAAATAAGTACATTTATTAGTATAAATAGGACATGTAAAATAAGTATACTAGCATAATGTGAGAATAATTGTTGTTAATATAAATTAAGGATGCTTTTGGGGCTAAAACATGGAATCATATGTGAGCTCGAAGGAAAGTAGTTATGTTTAGGGACTATTGCCTAAGGAAATGATTAAGGTTTTCAAGAAGGCATTTAACCAATGTTCAAACCCTAGCACCTAGCATATATTTATACACATGCGGACAGAAGCCGCACACACCCCAACTCCCTCACATGCCCCTCTCTTTTCTCTATCTTACAAAGTAGTGTTTTGTAATTTGAAAAGTCAAAGAAAACTTCAATTTTCTCCAAGGGCCAAATCATTCTCAACATGTCTACCAATCTTTAAGGGTAAGTACGATATGTTGCATGCAAACTATGTATGTTGTTTTAAAACGTGAAAATCAAGTTTATGGGTTCTATATGAATACAAATATCAATATCAGCATGATACACGGACTGGAGTTTAGTAGATAGGCACATGAATTATGGGTTCCATATGAATACAAATATTAATATTAGCATGATATACGGTCATATGGACCAGATTTTAGTAGATAGGCACATGAATTTTATCACTTATGTTGGATAAAATTCTCGTGTCTCCTCTAAGTATGTTAATAATATTTTCTCTTGACTTTAAACATGTAATAAATTTTATCGACATACTAATTGAGTATATTCTCATCCCGCCCACGAATCTAATGGTTCAAGACAGTCAAGCGCGGAGATGGCTTACATGCGGGATTTTATAAATACGTTCATGGAAAATTATTTTTTTATTATGGATTTAAGTGATTATCATCGAACTACTTTTTGATTTACGCCAAGATTTATTGAACCTGAGACTTTATTTTGAAAAGATTAGATTGTTGTCATTAATGGCATTAGTCAGTTATCTTTTATAATCCCATATACTTTTTTTATGTTTCATACGTGAAACTCTTAAGTAAGTTTTAGTGACACTCGGGAATTTAAGCCCCAGGCCTTCACAAAGATGATGCACATAAAGGCAAGGACTGGATTGGAGAAGTACCCTTACAAATTCCTATTTTTAATCATTCATACAAAAAGATAGCACTCAAACACTTACAATTCAAGCATCAAATTTGAGGTAGAACGTGTAATCATAGAGATGATAAAAACATGAAGCACCAGTATAGGAGAAACCTGCTTTCCTGAGTCCCTCTGAATGCAATCACAATAGCATTAAGATCCTTCGCAACCCCAACAAATGCCTGCACAAGATCTTAACAATTAACAATATACTAATAGCTGTTTAAAACATGACAAGATAGGAATAAAATTTTCCTGAGAAGGGAAAAAGGGAAAAAGAATCCAACTAAAAAAAGGGTAGGACTCAGAAGAACCCATTTTTCCTAACCTGCAGGCAGCGCTTCACATCAATAATCAGGTCGATAATTTCAAATCCCTGAAAAGATCACAGTATGACATCATTGCCAAGATCAGATGCTATATAGCTGTTCTATGATCATATAACTACCATTAGCATATTTTTTTATACTTAATCTTGGCACTATGTCTAGTTCATTACCTTGGTTAAATGATTACATCTTGAGCAAGTCCAAGTAAACAGTTCGGTCAAGTCTGACAAATAAACCTGCAAGTGCAAGACTTAGTTATGTTGAGAATTCCTCAAAACCTTGTGTCAATAAAATGTTATCATTGTGTCAGGAATTTTTCTGACCAAACTATTACTTTATGAAAAGCATCATTATGCATTGCTAGATAATAAAATTTACTCGATCAAGTAAGGGGAAAATAATGATGCTTATGATTCACCCATTATAATAAAAAAATTTACTCGATATAATTATCACCTTCTCAACATGATTATTTGAAAAATGTTATTCACAACAAACTTACAGCCGAAGCATATTCAACCAGAATTCTTGCAAGCGTGTGATTGTAAGTTGCCATATGATGATGATGACGATGATGATGTGTATGTTTCACCTCTACCTTAAGTTCTGCTACCAACACAACACAAAAAAGTAGGCAGCAATTAATAATTTTTCGCAAACAAAAGCCACTGGAAATCAGTAAAGCAGAACATATAAATAATTATTCAGCAGACATTACGCGAACGCCTTTTACGGGAGCTAGAAGAACAATTCCCTCTCTCCATTGTGAATTGAATTTGGCCACCGAAGTTTCGAACAATATATATATTTTTTATTAGCTAGTTGATTGGACGGACGATAGGATAAATTCTATCTAGAGAATCAAACCATATATCAAAAATAAATTTTGTCTAGAGAATCAAAACAAACATTAATTCAGTAGAAAACCATTGGCACATAGTAATTGAGCTAAATTTTACAAGAAATGTCTCCCAAAATTCTAGTTAACGGCATTCAAATAAATAATCAAAATCCAAATGTTCAATAAATTATCGAACCGAAATCCAAATTTCTTCAGAAAGATTGAACGATTATCACCTCTACCAGATGAATTGACAATTAAGCATATCACAATTGCCACAATCATCCAGCCCCTTCTTTCCATTCTCTGCCAAAAAATCAATAAATTTTAAACCCTCAAGTTAGTAAACAAGTTAACCCCTCATTAATTAAGAACAAAAATTGCGAAAAGAGAATTAAAAATTAACCTAATTAAAGTCTGCAATGTAATTCAACTCTCCAAAGTGGATGAATTCCCGGTGATCGTAAAACAACGAAGGACTTTCAGGGGGCGTGAGAAGAGGCAAAACGACGACGGATTATAATGACTCGACCTTTTTTGGCTATTCTGAAATTCACACAAGAAAAGGAAAGGCCTTTTAATCCGGAGAGACACTGGAATTCCCAAATTACCCCGGTTTCGGAGACTTTCGTCGGTGGATTATTACCTTGGTAGGTGGACTTCTGGGTTTAAGCTGGGGGCGATTCTGTAATTCCTGATGGCGTGTAGAAGGCAGGTTGAGGTGGAGATAATGACGTTTGGTTCGTTCAGGAGTTTAGACTTAGGATAATACCGGTATAATGCTTGCACAGTTCCACGTGCATTGCACGTGAATAATGTCAATGTGGGATCGGATAGAAGACGAGCAGTTTTTTTCGTAGATGACGACGACGACGAGATGATGATGACGTGTCAAAACACGTTAGATGGCGACTGGCGAGTTGGACCATTATGGTCATTTGTGGAAATAATCACATGGATCGATGTCAGTGAAATTAATGATTAAACTATTTTGAGGATGTGGGCTTGTTCTTATAATGGTCAAATCCGTATAAAAAGTAAGGGGAGAATTCACAAATCAAGTATTAATTTTGACAATTGTAAAAATTAGATTTTACATTTTAAACTTGCAAAAATCAAGTATTAATTAATTAATTATTTATTTATTTAATTGTAATATAATATAATTAACCCACCCCACCTCCACCCCTACTGCTCTAGCGACTATTCCGACGACCGTTCTGCCTTCGCTTAATTCCGACGACTGCTCCGATTTCGACAATTGTTAAGATCACAATTATATGCAATTTAGTCACAGATATCTAATTAATTAGTTAAAAATTAATTTTCAGTCACAATTTATTTGCAGGTCGCAAATTTTCAAATTAGTTGGTCATGAATTTTTTAATGGTCACATATAAAAAAAAATTTGTAGGTCACAATTAATTCTTCAGTCATAGATTTCAAAATTTATAGGTCACACAGTCACAGATTTTCAAATTATTTTGGTCACAGATTCTTTTACGATCACATATTATATAATTTTTAGGTCACAAATAACAAAATGGTTGGTCACAAATTAACCAACACCCCACTTCCACCTCCGATCATGATCCAACACCTTGACTGCACACAACAGCGTGCCCAAGCCAACCATCACATCCACCACCATCAGATCCAACATACCGTCAGATCCACCACCACCACCACCACACCACACCACACCACAACCCTACCACCAACAACGCTACCACCACTGCCAACCAACATCACAAATCACCACTGACAACAAAGAAGTTAAAACATTTTGGAGAGATAAGTGAGGGCAAGAGAACGAAGGCGAACCAAATAATTGGTCACATACACCCAAACTCATATCCCCCATCTCGATCTACCACCAATACTTGATCACAAATCGACCAAATAGTTGGTCACAGGCACTCTTCATTCCATCCCATCGTCGCCATCACCTCCACCGCTGCAAACAAAAATCACAACCACCGCACACACAAAATCGCAATCTGCCGCCACCAAGACCAAAATCAACACCACCTAGCGAGCACCGCCAACATCAACACTACTACAGCCATCACCAACAACTACAAACACGACCAAATCAAACCAAAAATAAAACGGCCACCTGCTGCCACCAATACCAACAATCCAACACCAAAATGTCTCCACCTTACCCCACCACCACACCTTCTCTTCTGCACCCCCGATTTGTAGCGTCATCCACTTGTTCATCGTCAGAGCTCTGCTTCGCCGTGGTCTGCTTCGCGGTGTCATTTCACCACCGTAACTCGTAGTGATTCGCGAAGGGAAAAGTGCGGCGGCATGGGTGCTCTGGGAGGTGGTCTCCGGCAGTGGACGATCGTCTCCTATGGCGAGCGCGAGAGAGGAAAAGAATGGGGAATAGGAGGGAAGGTGCGAGAGACAGAGAAAGGAAGTAGAGAGAGAAATTAGGTTATCAATTAGAGTTTTAATATAATACCTGATTTTTGAATAAGGGTCCGTTTGATTATCACTTTTTATCCATAAAAATGAAAAATATGACCGTTATCCATTACATCAAGTCATCAATTTTGAATTTTTATCTCTTGTGTGGGGCCCAATAACGACTATATTTTTCATTCTCATTCTACAATAATGAGAATCAAACGGGCCCTTAATTTGTGAAATGAGATTGCACATTAGATGAAGGATACATGGTTATATGAAATGGCTACATCTACTGCCAATTAATTCATAAGAAAAAATCGAAAATAAAATCGGGTTTAGTAAAATACTGTACATCAAGAAGTTATTCATACTAATATTATATACGAATTTGCATACCATNTTTTTTTTTTTTTTTTTTTAAGGGAAAGAAAAAAGAAAAACAACCAACTTCTATTTTACTTTAATGATTAATTGTTGATATTTTGCCCCGTTTGGTCCCCATTATTTTACACTATAATTTTTCTCTCTCTTATTTCAACTACACAATCTTTCATAAAATAATATTACAAGCAAATCGAAAAATTTTCTTCTTTTTCAATCACGTTCTTCAAAAAAATATTATTCCAAAAATTATAATATTAAATAATGGTGGCTAAATGGGGACTTTATCAAGTATATGCCAACTGCGCAATAAATAATTCGGACCATAATCACAAGGTCAACAAACTTTTCTTTGTAGCTTTGTGCAACGAAATACTTTAGAGAAAAACTTAGTCACGTCTCATGTAATATCCCGGACCTTTATAAGTAGCTTAAGTGTAAAATTTGATAACTTTAGGACTAAATTTGAGTTCCTTCTATTCTTGAGGGACCAAAATAAAAATTATGAAAAAAAATATGTTTTAGTCTAATGAAGGTTGAAATTTAGAGCTATTGGTGACAATATGAGTTATTTGAGCAATGGAAATAAAATTTGGGATTTATTTGCAAGATTTGAAAAGTTAATTAACAAACTACAATTCAAGAAAAGTTACATGTTATGAATTCTAGACTTGAGGTAGTCTTAAGATAAAAAGATAATGTTTGAGGTTTAGAGGCTTGATGAAATTTTGGTAAGTTTGAGGATCAATTTGGAATTTTACAAACTTCAGGGACTAAACTATACGTTTGAGAAAATATTATGATTTCCGAGCCATATAATGTTTATGAGGTTGAAATTATGTGATAGAACATGTTTGGTTAAGTTTGAGAAGCAAACTATTTGCAAATTGAGATCATGTCTGGGTCGTTGAAGTTTTCGGACAGTAAATATTAAATGCGTTTTAAAAGTTCAATAATTCTAAAATTACCAATGTTGTGATTTTTAGATCGTGGAAAAATGTCAAATGATTAATTTACACTTTTTGACTCGATCGGACTACACACTTTTTCCAACATTGTTAAGGGATTGTTTGGTAGCCTAAATTCAGTTATCCTCTTGGAAAAAACAGAAGTTGAAGATTAATCTTTTCGAGTAAATATTTCAAGAATATAATTTTTATTCAAGTTTTCAACGTTTAAATCAAACGAATAAACAAAAAACTACGATTACGGTAAGATACATTCGCAAGTTTTCACATCATATTACTGAAACTTTAAGGTATGAAATTATATAGTGTCTGACGGGACATTTTTGTAGTCACTCAAGTTAAACGTAAATTTTCAACTATGTAATTGTTGAAGGATGGTGTTTGTTAAGGCGTTAGATGACGATCATATTTTGTAATATCAACAAGTTATATTTTAAATATGTTTTTGTTTTACTATGTTTCAACATGTAGATTTCCATGTTACAACATGTAATTTTACTAATATTATGTTAAATTCTACGAAAAAATATTATATTTTTATGGCATTGCAATATGTCTTTGTTGGGTTACAATTTAATATTTTAATAAACATATTATTGTATAAAGCCATGTTTAGGATCTGCATTAAAAATGGATTTTACATGTTACAACATGCTACCTGATCAATTAAGCCTTCGTTTGGTTCCCATTATTTGAAATTATAATTTTTGGAATAGTATTTTTTGAAAAATATGTGGTTAAAAAAAAGGAAAAATTTTCAATTTATGTGTAATATTGTTTTATTGAATAATGTACGGTTGATAAGAATATAAAGAAAAACAAATTATAATTTTAATATGGCCCAGACGGAGGCTAATACTTCATCCGAAGAATCCTTCAAGCCAGTAGTGGAAGGCAATCCAGAAAATAAAGACTCTTTCAGAACAAAGATTTGAAAGCCTAGACGCACCAACAGAAGCAATATAAGCATGACATGATGTTGGTGCAAAATGTGCTGTGTGATGTCGTTCAATTCTTTGTTGGCTCTTTATCCGTCCAACAACTCCAACATATGATAGTGGACACCACCCATGCCCATTATGGTGGTTCACCTCAAATAAAATCAGTTTATACCAAACCCTACAACAGTGAAATTGACGAAATGAGGATACTTGGTCAACTACCAACCCCTGAAGTTCCAGTATTTTGATAGAAAGAGCAATTGAAAGTAACATGTGGCTCATTTCATTGAACCACGTTACTGGTACCTAGAATGATACTATGGTGAAAAAGCTCATACGTTTCCTCAAAGATGTTGCGTCCAAATGGTATATAAACTTATCGACGAGACGAATTGATTGTTAGGATCAACTTGAAGAGGAGTTCATAACACGCCTATAGTGTACTAGACAGGTAGTTAGCCTTCAAGAACTTGCTAGGACGAAGAAAAACAAGGAGGAGCTAATTGCATAATATATTGAACACTAGATAAACTTCGTTCTTAATTGCAAAGAATGCATTAGGGAAGCATCCTCTATTAACACGTGTGTGCAAGACATACATTAGGGATTACTCTACTATCTCCCAGTAAATATACCTCACTTTTTTAAAGAGTTGACGCATCGAGCCACATGACATAAATTGTTTATATGACCCATTTTGTTAGACCATGTCGTAATTATCTTTTTGAAGCATAAGTATTTTGTGCATGTTAAGTCATTTTGTCACATGTATTTAGACAAACAAGCAAAGGCCCGTTGCAGCATTGTAAATTAATTTGCATTTAGGGTTATTATTGTGAAGGAAATAAGTTGTTATTCCGTTGTAGCTATATTACTCTATTTGGTTTGTGTTGGAGGAACACGTGGTTCTCAATATATTTGTTAGCCCAAAAATAACTAACCAAGAGGGGGGTGAATCGGTGTTTGAAACATTTTCGACAATTAGTTTCAAAATTATTCAATACACAAGAAACAAATTCAAAGTGTAATAAGAGAAATAAATATGTAAACTCGATAACTTAATTTAAGTATGAATATAGCACAATATAAATGGTAATGTAAAGTAAAGTGCAATAATGTAAAGATAACAAACCAATTTAATGGGGTCGATACACAATGTGTTTTACGTCTCCATTACCAAGCTCCCCATCATGAGTCAGGCCAAATGCACTATAA